ATAGAATTCAATTGAAGATCAAAGCTTCTTAAGTTGGAAAGCATTACTTTTATTCTTGTGATCTTAGTGAATAATTCAGTAGTGTTACTGTAAGGAGAAATTAGATGCTGGTCACTGACGTAGGATTTAACCCTTTAACTTCCACAAGTGATTAACTTGTAACTTCTCCCTATAATAGCAGAGCTCACAGAGCGTAGCCCCTAATTATGCAAAATAGAAGTAACCCATCAAGCCAAAAAAATTTGGATGTACGACAGTACAACCGCACAACCATATGACTGTAAAACCATACAAGGTGCAACTTTTAACATGTGTGGTCAACTATACTGTGGGCACACCAACGCCATGGCTTTGTTCAGTAGTCCAGTGGTTGGTGCACTGGGCTCCAAGTTGGAAGACACAGGTTCTAGTCCTGGCCGGGGCAAGGTGTTGTGCCCTTAAGACATGCGGGAGAAAAAAAAATGCAAGCTCCTCTTTTAGGCTTGGCTAAATCTATATATTATCCATACATTATCCAGTAAACAGGTAATGAGAATACTCAGACTTATCAAATAGAAGTTTTTAACTGGACCTAACACCAAATTCTCATAACTATTCAACAAGGAATTGTTTAGCAGCCAGAGAGGAGAATTAAGAATCAGATCCTGGGAGTTAAAGGGTTTAAGGGTGAAAGAGTTAACGTTAACAAAGTCAATGAACTTCAAGTGAGATGATGAGAAGAAAGAAGAGTTTGATTGACCCTTTAATTCCCAAGATCCTATTACTCAAATATTTAGTAATTCTCCATACTGTCTGCCATACAGTTCTTGTGATGTTAGTTTGGAAAATTTGGTATTGGTTCAACTTATACCGTACTTTCTGGCCAATTATCCGTGGATAATCTGTCAAATTTTCCACAAACAGTCATTGATGGGTGTTGTAGGAAGGTGTGGGTTATATGATAATTTTCAAGTTTCCGGCATAGTTTTAAAACTATAAGCAGGAAAAAAACAGAAATGATCAAATCCTCTAAAGATACTCTTCAAAAAACATTGTGTAATAACTCATTTATTTTGCACAGATTGCTCATTATTATAAGAGACTTAAATGCTCTTGATGAAAGCTGATGCAAATTGAAAACCTACCTACAAAACTCTATAATAAAGCTTTTATCTTATTTGTACTCTTACTTTCTTATCTTGTCAATTTCACAGCTTGTTTCTTTGTTAAGTTCAAAAAATCAATTCTCAATTACACGGGAAGTGAACTTGAAAATAAAAGAATTTAATTGTGGAAAAGCTGGCTTCAGAGAAATTCACACAGAAAATGATGCTGACATGTTTGTTTTGTGGCACTGCATAATTATTGGTGCAACAGAATATTTGACGCATCAGTGAAATTTTCTTAGCTAGCATTGCCTTGAGTTAAAGAGTATTTTCCTGTTTCAAGTGATTTATCCAACTCAGTAGATCTCAAGATATTGATTTTTAGTTGAGAACAGATTTTTACAAGTGGTATCATTCTCAATGAAACAGCAAAGACAAAAAGTGTGAAAATTTACTAACTGCACGTTAAAGATTTCATGTCGACAAAAACAATGAAGGAACTTTGTGTGAGTTGACGATTTTCTTTTGTTTTTGGGTGCAGATTATCTGCCAGTGTGGATAATCTGTTAAAATTTTTTTCTTGTTATTGCAAAAATTGACTGATGCGGGTAGTCTGCCACGCTGGTAAATGGACAGAAATTACAGTAATCCCCTAACTGATATTTTTTCTTCATTCTCATCACTTGTCTGCTTGATATTGTTCTGATAATGTAAGGAGAAATTCTGTCTTGGTCATTTGTGGGAGTTAAAGGGTTTATCACCCCATCCACAGACTGAGGTAAAATTATTAAAAAATATATGGCAGACAAGGGAATTGTCTCAATTATAGAGAACATATTCCATAAATTAAAAACATGCCTGGGTAATTATCAAATAATTTTCAAGTCATAAAATAGGTTATGGTAACTCATTGAGGAAAATTTTTAGAAAAATAAAATTGTTTGTCTCACAATGTGGTCACTTATGTGGATTGTGACATTTTGATTGTATACTGTTGGTCTTATTGACAGGTGATTTTTAGTGAGAAGAAGACTAGCAGAATCCAGTCCAAATGTTGCAACCAACATCTGAAGTGACCACATTGTGAGAAAAACAATTATATTTCTCTTTTGAATAAATAATGTTTCACTTACACATCTTGAAAACTTTCAAATGAAGTATTAGGAGTAAAGACATCAAGCAAACCAATAACCTTAGGGGAAAAAAAAAACAGCAACTAAGTTAAAATGTTGAAAGAAATAGACTACAATATGTTTTATAAAATATTGGTGCCACCCTGTGGTATTGTTGTAAAAATAATGATTCAAGTGCATGAGTGAAAACAAAAAAGGAAAAAAGTCATTTCAAAAAATGAGAAAATTGATGACAAAATGTTAGTTAGCACTGAATACCAACATCATGATTATATAAATATAAAATAACTCAAATTTTGACTTGCAAATATTCTTTTTTCACAAAATCATTTTCATTGCAGCTCATCTGCATGAATTATGTCTTTAACTGCATATCATTCACAAGTCAAAATATAATTTATTTCATGTAATTGATCAGATTCCATTAGAAGAATGAACAACCCTCAAAAATTTGCCTTGGCACCAACTTGTGGCTTCTTAGCTCAGTCTGCAGGGGCACCTAACTTAACCCTTTGACTCCCATGAGTGACCAAGACAGAATTTCTCTTTACAATAACAATACAATATCAAGTGGGCAAGTGATGAGAATAAAGAAAAATATCAGTTAGGGGATTGCAAGTTGATCCAATACCAAATTCTCCAAACTAACATTGCAAGAACTGTATGGTGAACAGTTAGGACAATTATTGAGATCTTGGGAGTTAAAGGGTTAAGTCTCCGAGAAGCATAAAATTGTCAGGCTTCTTTTAAATTACGGAATTTTTTTTGATCGAAACAAAATTCTCCAAACCAACATCATAACAACTGTATGGCAGACAGTAAGGAGAATTACTAATGAGATCTTGGGAGTAAAAGGGTTTATAGCAGTTGACCTGGGAGGATTACTTTCAAACATATTTCAATGATTATAAGTGACATAAGCTCTACACAATAAACCTACATTTTCATGATTCATATGACGAAGAAGTTTCAGTTCCCTGAAGGATCTCTTTGCATACATTGTGGTTTTGAAAGGTCTTGAGAGTTTCTTGATTGCCACTTGTTTACCATTAGCGGTGTTTGTAGCTGAGCTGCGGGAACACAATTAAACATCATTAACAATTAATTTACAAACTGATTGATCATTTGCATTTAAATTAAATGTACTGTTCAATTTTTAACTCTCTGTTGGTTATAAGGTATAACCTAGCTTTAAAATGGAATTCACAACAGCTATTTCCCCATATAACTAGGATTAGAAGCCAGCCTACATGACAATTTTGCTCTAAACAGTGTTTTGGTAGGTTAGGGCAAGAGTTGAAAGTAAGATTTCTGCACAACGTCATACTATTCAAAGGTAAAGCATTAGTTTTGAAGTTTATCCATTGTTTTTGTTTTTGTTTTCTGTTAGCAAATATTAGTATCCACGATGAAGCATGGGGTAATGTGGAAACTTTGCCACACTGAACATTGAGAAAAGTAAGCATATTTATATTACATGATGAATCATGCAAACAGCACTGAGTATGTTTGTAGGGGAATATACATAATGGCGTAATATGTGACTAACACAGTCCATAGACTGTACAATTTTACACCACTATCTGCATAGGTTGATTAATCATAATAATTTATATATCACTGGTGAAAAATTTACATCATATATATCTCTGACTGGAAGAAATAACGCCGTAAGTTACTGGTGTAAAATCTTACAGTATATACATAACCAGCTGGAAGAAATTACACCATAAGTTACTAGCATAAAATCTTACAGTAAATACATTACCAACTGGAAGAAATTACACCATTAGTTACTGATGTAAAATCTTTCAGTATATACATTACCAACTGGAAGAAATTATGCCATAAATTACTGGCATAAAATCTTACAGTATATACATTACCAAATGGAAGAAATGACACCATTTGTTACTGGTGTAAAATCTTAAATATCATATTTTATCGGCTATAAGCCAAGCTGGTAACTTTTAACTCTTAAACTTAAGATGATTGTCTTCACACACAAACACCAAACATCCAATAATAAATCGAGACCCATTTTTTAAAACATACAAGAGCTCATGAAAAATTTTAATCACATTTAGCTTTTAAAATATGTTGAAATGAAAGAACAGGTTAATCATCCAACGGCACAGGCAATTCGCTTGAAAAGCAACATGAAATCCTTCAGCACAGAGAAGAGATTAGCTTCACAGTCATGTTGGCGGTCACTGCTGATGGCAAAAAGCTACCACCAAAAGTTACCCTCAGAGGTGTACAAAGCCCGAGAGACTTTGTTGTTCCAGACTCAATTTGTGTTTCATTCCACAAAAAAGGATGGATGGATGGATGGATGAAGCTAGTAAGTTCACAGTTCTGTGTTGTTCATTTGCTCTTTTGTTTACTTGTGTTTGAAAGGTATATGCCTTATTGATGTCTTTAAGTGAGGTCTAATCGATTGTTGTATTTTTTTCTTTGATTATAGGTGTGAAGGAGTGGATTCATACCTGCATGCCAAGAAACCCTAACTGTTGAGCGTTCATTGTTGGTTTGGGACTCCTTTCGTGCCCATCTTACCGAGTCAGTTAAAGAAGTATTGCAGCAGCAAAATATCGATGTAGCTGTTTAATTCCCAGTGGCCTAACCCCAGTTCTGCAGTCATTAGACAAGTGCCTAAACAAGCTCTTCAAACAGAGTATAAGAAGAGAGTACTGGTCACAGATGATAATGGGCCCCTTTGAGTTTAATCATGCTGGGAAAAAGAAAGTGCAGTCAAGAAACCTTGTTCTATGTTGGATAACGAAGTCTTGGAGGGAGATCCTAGAGGAGATGGTGAGGAAATCATTTCTGTCTAGCAGCATCTCCAATGCACTTGATAGCACTGAGGATAATGCCATCTATGAAGAAGAGCCAGACATTCACACTGAAGAAAATGAGATGGATGAAGAATTTGATACAGAAAGTGAAGATGAGCCATAAGCTGACATCCTTGATCAAAAAAAACCAAACAGCTTCTTTAGGAACCACCACATATTAAAAGTTAATGACCAATAACTCTTGCTTTTTTTGTCTTTGTCTGACTCAGCTTTTATGTGAATATATGTGCATTAATCTTAGAAAATTTTGAAATATTATGTGGCTGGAGATGTGATCTAACACATTTTGGGGGCAACTAAGACAAGAAAAGACGTGGCATTTTTAGTCAGTTTTTGTCCCGTTTTTATGCAGATTTGGCAGTTTTAATAATACTGAGTTACAGTAATTACAAAGTTTGTAGTGCAACAATTGTATAATAATGATTACTTGTAATATAAAACATTTTTCCTTTTAATTTCTTTCAATAACTCAAAACATATTTACAGCTCAATATGCACTTTGTACAAGTTAAGAAATATGTAGGATTAAGTTATGGAATACTAATCATCCTCCACATCAAAGTCAAAGTCATTTCAAAATGGCTGCCGTGTTTACTGTTTAGCGACCTTTAGCAACTAGCAGTGAAATGCGACCTCCTGAAAATCTACCTTATCTTTATGATAAAACAGATTTGTTTTACAATAGTATGGAGCTGTGCGGAAATTTTACCGAATGTTGGCTTCTGAAACTATTAGAGTCTTCATTGACTTGGGAATCACCTCGGGATGAAGTTGTCTTAAACAAACCAGCAAATTTAACATCGCGCGATTGAACAGCTGATCGGTTGGCAATAAAGGATGATGTATGTAAATATAAACTTACCGATTTCTGTACACTCTCTCGAAACAAAGAAGCTTGTTATTTTTTCTCTAGCCTTCTCTCCATCATTTTGATTTTCCACTGATTTCCGCTTTGATATTCTTGATTGCAGAGAACTTTCTCACTGGGTACGCTATAAGTTGCTCGCACCACGTGCTCTTCAAGAGACGAACTCGCACGATGGAATTTACGAAATACGCTGAGAAAATCGGAACAGAATCACGCCAGAGTTGTAGTCTACGTTGACAGCTTTCAGCCAATGCACTTTTAAAAATGCTACTCTATGTCTTTGAGTAACTTCACGTACATTTTACGTTCTTATCTGTCATGTTCGCTTACTGTTTTCTAAGCGCAAATTCAAGCTACGCTCGACATTCTCTTACCAAAAGAAAGAATCATTTTCTGAAGTTTTATCTGACCAAAGTAGCCGGCGCTTGAGACGCGAGTAGCCGGCGAAAACGCCGACCGCTAGCGCCTCTGGAGAGCACTGGACTAAAGATATCCGTCTATTGGCTGAGTAAAACTGATGAACCACGCCGTTTTTAAACGCCATCTAATGAACAGTTGCTCTATCTAAGTACAACACTTGAGGTCACACCTTTGGCATAAGATAACATAGGTTGTGTTTTCACTAAACCACTTTTCTAGCTGAACATTCTTTCTAGGTGTTTGCTTACAGACCGAAATTTACTAGTTAAACTTGACATCTGTTTTCACTGTGAAATTTAATCCGAAATTTAAGCCGTTTACTCAAAAGATTCAAAATTACAATAGCGCGCAGCTTTGAAAAAATGGCGGGAGACGAAGCATTTTTGATGACATCTCTTGTATATTGATTCTCGCCATATTTCCCCGAAGGAGATGGCGCTTCTTTCAGAGGATACGACTAAAGTCTCGACAAATGGAGAGGATGCGACGGATTGTTGGAAAGAGAAACTATTACGAGTGAATTCGTCTGTCATTTCGTAAGCACTGTTTACAAAGTTGGCAAGCATCTGTCGGTACGGGCAATGTGATTGGCTGCGGCATTTATCAGGACGAGTTATACCATCTCGCGAGGTAGCATAATTTTGCGGGAATATCCGGTCATAAAAGCGAGATAATCCCTTGTTTTTTTTATGTCAAAACAGCTTGCATTTTTAACTCGCTAAACTCAAGACGAGCTGTTTTCACTGTACTTCCAGACTTTTCCGACTTCAACAATTCAAACTTGTTCTAGTGAAAACACAACCGTAATGACTGAAATTGCTATACAGGCGTTACGCTCTCCTGGGAAATAGTGCGAGGCACGTATGGTGGCTAATGTCATCGAGGAAAGTGACGTGAATCCACCGCCAAAATCTACACTTACTAGTAGGTTTAAACGATGCAATTTCATCGCTTGCTACAAAATATGTAACTAAAATTTTGGAATACTCTCTTTCATACTTAAGAAGGTTCGGGTGTCTAATAAGTTAGCGCTTCAAAGGTAAGACCTTCACAGGTATATCCTGGCAAAATCTACACTTACTAGTAGGTTTAAACGATGCAATTTCATCGCTTGCTACAAAATATGTAACTAAAATTTTGGAATACTCTCTTTCATACTTAAGAAGGTTCGGGTGTCTAATAAGTCAGCGCTTCAAAGGTAAGACCTTCACAGGTATAACCTGGCAACAGGCAACAACGAGTCCACTTGGTTTGTGGATGATACATCCTGCATAATTGGTTGTACCGGATCAAATCTTTTGGTCTTCTAGAGATTGTGATAGTCACATATTACGCAGTTATCTAATTACTATGTTTGTAGTTGTCGAACGCACCTGGTCCTTTTTTCACGAAGGATTCAAACATCGATGAAGCCTCTCGGTTAGAAAACGCCATCATCCCAAAATTCCCAAAATCAGTCATCAAACCACTGGCAAACAACCCTGTGGGTTTGAGGCCGCGTGACGTCACTTATTTAATACGCCTATTGAACTCTTAAATCGTTTGTAATTTGCGAAGGTCGATCACAGCAAGACGCAATTGATCCCGAGAAACATTTCATCCCCAAAATCCGCTTAATGACAGTCAGTTAAATAAAGTTTACTTACCTTTGTTTTTCTGTGATCAATTGCATCTTGCCGAGATCGACCGTTGCAAATTACAAACAATGTAAGAGCTCAACTAGCGTATCAAGTAACTGACGTCACGCGGCCTCAAACCCACAGGGTTGTCTGCCTGTGATTAAACCACAGTACAAGCCTCAAATCAAAGATTTTATGTACGATCGAAGCAAAATCCTATCTGCATTTTAACACTCTGTACTCACCAAACTTGTCCATGCGCACCAGTTCCAATTGGACTCAGGTCTCGATACTTCTCAGGAACTTCCCAAACGGTTTTATTTAACTCCGTTCTGTAGTAACCGGGCGGAAGGTCTGCCATAACCACTGAAGATTAAATATTTTAAAAGGTTTCGCTTTCGCGAGGACTCTACGTGACTTCAGGTGGTTCGAGGCTAATGCGCAAGTATCTACCTCTTTCCTTCGCGCACACTCGTCGTTAGTCTCGTTCTCAGTGTCTCTCTCGTTATACAAAATAGTACGCTGGGTATCATTCATCATGGCAGACGGAAATGAAGAAAGCGAAGACGGTGAAGTAAGTTTTAAGAAGCCTTTGGAACTCTTGAAGCAGAAAAAAAATAGTGCGCATATGTACACCAATGGTTAGATATTCCAAGTCGTGATCGCCTTATTGTCTCTCCAGTTGGCGACTATTATGTGGCCTGAGTAAGCGTTTTAGCGAAGGTCTTCGTTTTGCATTTTGAACCTGCTTTTTCTACATAACGAAGGCCCTATATTTAACGTATATTTCAACTTATCACAAACTAAAGCGACGTTTCAGGAGTTAGCGTTCTTCCCCAGGTTTTTTTTTCCAGTTAGTTTACGTGGATCTTCGGTTTTAATTTGGTATGCAGCCTTCGGTCTTCGTTTTGATTTGCAGTTTCCCTAATTTGGATATCCACGGCCTTGTACTGCCATTAGGAAATACATTATGCATAATTGCCTTAATATTTTGGCTGGACATCCAAGGCCGTCTAAAGGTTTGCCGCGAAATGGACATTGTCCTAGCACAAAAATTCATATCTGAATAGGTTTTTCGGGATCCGGGATTAGGCTCATTTGAAGGCCGGGATCCGGGAATTTATGGTAAAAGTGGGATACGGGATTTCTATTATGAACGGGACGCGGGAATCAGCGATTTTGGGGAACTTTAACGAACCGAGAACCGGAATGTCTGTTGACGAGAATTCATGAAGAAATTGACCTTCTCAGTCATGAAAAGCACCAGGCGTATAGACTCTAGCATTCAAGAGGCGGTCGGGCTGCTCAGGGACACTGTTCAGTTATTGCGCGGGAATGAAAATTATATCAGAAGCGAAGTTGCCAATTTATCAGAAATCCTCAATGGCCCACAGGGTAACGTGGCATCTAAGACTGCTACGTCAATTGATATGCTTAACGACCGATATGATGCTCTTGACGTGTTGAGTTACTTTACACTAGATGTGAAGAATGTTCATTCTGTTGTGCATCACAAAGATAAACTTTTCGTGGTGTTAGATTACCCAAGAAACTTTGGAAATGTAGCCTAAAAAGGCTTAATGAGGACAACCTATTAAGCGGCGTGCTATTTTACAAATCCAAATTCTTGGTATCTTGTGCCCGAACATGCCAGGATCCTGTCGGCCATACCAGTAATTCAACCGTTACCACCTGTGCCGATGGCACCACAGAGTATACGGAAGATGAGGGACTGGGCGTAAACATTTGTTGCAGCAGTGCGTCAGCGCTCTGTCAGACAGGAAACAACGATGGAAAGACCTGGAACTTCCCGTCGTACCCCTATCAGAGAGAAATTCAGCCGGTCGAACTGGTCAGCCTCGAATGCTCGGGCTCGAGGAGCAGCAAGAAAACGGCGGGAAACAAGACAAAGGGAGAGATGGAATATTGGAGTACGATTCACCGAGTTATCATGATGACATTCCATCTTTGGAACGAGAGGCTGATTTTTACCTCGGAAGAGGTTCCCGCTTTGGAAGAAGCATTTGCTTCAACAGCACAATTGTGTTCAGTTAATTTTTCTTTATCTCCGTTGTAATGGAAATATGGGATTGCCGAGACCTTGTGTTTTATGCACTTGTTAAAATTGTTATTCATTTCTTTGATACAGACCTGCCTGTACCTATACGTTTGTCCGTGATCTAAGTTTAATGGAAGGAAGTCGTTACCATGACTAGCGTACGTTATTCGTGTAAGACTTTGAAAACTTTTAAAATGAACGATATCATCATTTTGGTGAAATAAAATTACCTTACGCCTTACGGTGATCATAGACTTCAACGGATCAATGCTGGTTAAGAAAACCATTACCCACCGGAAAGGCCCTTCTAAGTTTAGGAAATGGGCTAAGATAAAATTGTACGATCTGGATCGGGACTGGCCGTTATAAACCGGTATTGAGAGAAAATAGCGAATCTGAAAATAGCTGAATATTTCTTGAAAAAATAAGAATTTATTGTGGCAATTAAATCTCAACGTTACTTCTCTAAATTTTGTCCTACTACCAAACTTTATTTATCAGGTATTTTTCTCAAAACTGTATTAAACAAATAATATTCTTCAATCTTGGCTATAGTTATCATTGCTACTTAACACATATTTCAGAAGTCAATGAATAACATGAACGACATAAACGAATAAAATCTAAAAAATTATGGACAAAACAATTCAAGCAGCTGTAGTTCTTAACATACATCACGCATTCGTTCACAACTGAAAAACGTTTTTGTAGTAGTAAAGAAATGGGCGCGTTTCAGAAGTCTGTCACTTACGTGATATCACCATAAAAGCTGATGGATCGCTTGCTACTTATAAGAATGACCTATGGCAACGGCAATCATTTCAAATCAGCAATGTGACTGCCTTCGCCCCTGGTACCACAGGCCGGGTGGTGCGAGTATGATGGCTTGTGGGAACATCAAAGACGATCACGACTGCGGTACTGTGGAATCGTGAAAATGCCCGCTACTCCCTTTGCCTATTTCCTATCGCATACCTTTATTTGCGTCAGTAGCTGCCAAAAAATTTTAAAAGGTGAGGGGAGCGTATATTCTCTCATTCGCTGGGGTTTGTAATCCAAGGATGCATAGATGATTTCTCTAGAAGAAGGCCTCCATATATTCGGGAAGCTTAAGGTTTATTCTTGGGAGAAATATCAAATGAAGCGCAGGTATATTCGTTGCGTTGTCAACGTGAAGCAGGCCTGTATCCTCCATTGCGTAAAAACACGTAATAGAAAAGATGACACATACACCTGAAGATGTCTCTCCTAAGTCTTTCAATTCTCCGATTTCTTACGGAGGGACCAAGGAAACTCCCTCTACCTTCACCTCTTGCTTCCACCATGCCATCACAACCTGGTACATTTTCCACACCATAATTCACACGAATAAGTGATGGCCACAACCCATCTTGCAATCTTTCAATTGCTTTCTGAAAAAGTTCCAGAACAGTTTGTGAAAGATTGTTATTACCACATCTGAGAAAGACAATTCTTCTAGAGAAAACACATGCATCCGTGGATCACAAAACCTCAGCGAATAAGAGAATGATGACCATCTAAATGCCACAGAGAATTTGGCCATGGCACGGAGTATTGCCTACGAGAAACAAAAATTCCCCACCTCAAGGCAGTATTCGCTGGATCCACCCCTGCTAAACACTTACGAATTCTTCCTCTTTGAATCCTCAGTCCAAGTGACTTAAGGTACCCGGCTAGGTATGTTCGCCCGGTTGTTAATCCATGACGAGCAATATACTCCAAGACTGATTCATCCAATTCTGTATCCGGCAATAAACTAAAATTCGCCGTACTTTGCAAGCCATATGATTGTACTCTACGATAAATTGTACAACAGGACACACGAAACTACCAAGAAATTTTTGCCAGTGAAGATCCAAGTCCGAGAAGATCTTCAAACGTTTCAAGAGATAAATAGAACTGTGGTCTCCCTGGATTTCCCGTCCTGAGAATTTTACGTTTACATCGAGAAATTGATGAAGGTTTTACTGCTAGAACTTTGAGATGATTTTGAATAGCCTGCAATAATTCTGCAAACGTAATAGCTAGAGATTCCCACTCGATCCGATCTTGCTCAATGTTGGTTAAGGCAATAGAACTCGAAAGACTAACAGTTCGATCGAGAACTGCAGATTGTACTTGCAAGTCATTGATATTCGTTTCCTTAATATGTATACACTGCTCTGTCCCATCGAACACTGACGATAAAAATTTAGGTAAGTCTTTTTCCACGCCAAATTCTGGCCTGACGTCCGCCATGATGCTAGTTAACTTTCCCGCGCGAAAACATAAAGTATTAAAGTTCCCGTATGCTAGTTATCGTTTCCGGTCATTAACCGGAAGCAATTTTGAATGTACTCTTTTTCGCATTGAATTGAAATTGAAATTGAAATTAAATTGAGTTGAATTTCCATTGAATTTTCATTGAATTTTCATTGAATTTTCATTGAATTTTCAT